AATTCAGTGCTCCACATTCATTCAATCCAAAAAAGACCCCTGAGCAAAAAAGTGCAAATTAAAAGCCAGCAAGCTCCCTTCCATCATGTTTAGTGTTTTTAAAAAAGTTTACAATGGGTCCCAAAGTAAGATTTTACATTGCTCAAAAACACCCTCACTGAATGAGAGGTCGACTGTATGACCCGCAACACGCACTGAACCATCGTAGCTGGCGGTACGCAAGCAGCGCCAGGGTTCGTGCGTGATATATCTGGTTCCAACCTCCAGAGAGTATCTGTGTCACCGTCCTGTCTCATTGGCTCGGGCTCTGGAAGGATCTCTTCTAAACCCACACCATCTCTACTTGCCAGGTGAGATTTCCTTCCTGACGCTTTGGAATAGCTTCTCAACAGAGGGCAGTGAGACGTGCTTAGCTAACTAGGCAGAAGGACACAGTTTTTGCCTGGTCACTCTGGCAGAAGGAAATAAATACTAAACTGTCCAGAAACCAAATTCATTGCATGCGACTCTGAAGACAGAACGAATAAACTGTTCCAAGAAAGAAGCGGTGAAGTGAAATTTCCTGGATCGCTGGCTCAGTGGGAATCAGCGTATAGCAGAATCGTTACTCGGGGCCAACAGTTCTCTCTAAAATCAGAGGATAAGAATAAAGAGATAAATGACTGTAAAAGTGTTTATAGGAAAAATGGTCAGAAAGATATTTAAACAGACATTGTTTGAAGCAGTAATTACACCAAAGCTATTATTAGACCTTTGGTCCTCTTCAGAAAAAATCACGCTTAGCTCAAAAAGTAATTAATCAAATTTAGCATCACATACTTTTAAAACTCAATGCATTGGCCTCTTGCCATGTTCTTAAAATATTATCTTAGCACAGTGACTAATTTCCTGGTTAGCTGAGCACTAATGAATGCCTGACTATGTTGCCCAAAGCATGGAGCACTGGCATGTATGCACGGCGGGTCTCTGTGTGAGAGGACGAGCAGTCCTCATGACTCACATCTCCTTCTGACTCTGCAGCCGTCCCATAAGGACGGCAAACGCAAGCGTTGCACACAGTGTCAGCGCTAAACAATGCTCCCGGGGACAATCTACACCTGTTTTACAGCTGGCCGGGAACGCCACTGGATACTTGAGTTATGACTCGTCGGAGGAAATCATTGCAAAAAGGATCAGGTTTCGTCTTGCTAACAAAAAATGATTAATTCAGTGGCAAATAATGCCACAAACCGGCTCAATTAATCCCCATTTACTGTCTGAATTGATCACACTTTTATAAGTGGATTTGTCTCAATTTGTTGTAAACACAAATTGAATCAGATTATGCATTGATCTCACGCCTGCGGTGAAATTCATCATTCTTTTGTTGATGATGATAAATTAATGTCTCGAAGCGAGTAAGCTGAAACTAAACGTATCCTCTTTTATATGGTTTGTAATATTTAAAGGCCTCGCTCAGGAAGTAGATCAACTTCTGAAGTATTCCTATGAAGCATTATCTTAGTCTAATCAGTTCCTAAATATTAAAGATGATCCTTTCTAAACTCCAAATGTTATCTTTTAAGCTGTTGTTCAGATCCAGAGTGAATGTCGTATTGCTCGATGGTCCATGCTATTCCTTTAGAAAGCTCGCTGCCACGCGATTAAACTCTCTGCTCTTCTCTACCTCACACGCATTAACATTCGCAGGCAGCCTGATCAAGGCAGTCCCGGCATACATTACAACCCTCCTCTCTTCAACAGCTGAGCTTGTCCACAGATTTATTGGGTTGTCATGGCAACAGAAGCGAGCCGGGGAGGACAACAGTCCTCCCCCATCTCCAACTCCTCATCCACCTACACCTTGGTCTTTCTCACCCATTTTCTCTTTTCTGTGCTTTTCTTATCATAGTTCAAGCTACAACACTGTTCTTGTAATAAAAGAGAAACAAAAACAGATCGTTCTGGGCTTGGTGGAGTTTTTACTAAACCTCACAGTGCATAACTGAAAACTACAGAAGTGGCTAACCAATTTAGGGCAACCTCTAATACTTGAACCATATTTTATATGGCAAATAACCTATTCCAGAAAAAAACAGCATAATTTATCTGTAAAGTCCAAATCCTGCTGTCGGATTCTCCGTAGCTCTGTTGACCCCATAAGCATGATAACATCCATTTGTTGGCCGAAATCTGTGAGTCTAAACTGTAACTGCCTGCAGATGTTCAACTTGAGACCGGCTACTGATTACTGGCCAGCAGCATGCAAGCAGACTTGTAAACAGAAAATAACAAATTTCCCATGTGAGAGGACTTCTCACAGTATGTGTGGTGTTCAAATGCACAATGACCACTGCATCTCATATTCATTTTGATCTT